TGGCACCAGTGCGCTCGCTCGCACTCACCCGCCTCCGCCGTCTCGCGCGCCCCGGGCCCTGGCCCGGGCCGCCGGTCCCCTCGCGCGGCCACCCTCACGCTGCGCCCTCTCTAGCTCGCGCCGTCACCTCTCGCCTGCTCGGCAGCCTCACTCTCGCCCCCAGCCGCCCTCAGCAACGCCCCTCCCACCTTCCTCTTCGGCCCCTTCGCGGACGGCCGAACGCACCCAATCACCGCCCGTCTGCCTCCTGCCGTTCGGCCAATCAACGCTCATGCCTCTGAGGCTTGGGCCAATACTGCGGAGCGTTGGGAGCCCCCGCAGCGCCCGACCAGTCCTCTAGCGACGTTCCTTCACCGGCCTGCCCCGCGGGGTGATAGTGCCCGCCCGTTTAGGCCCTCTGGAGGGTGCTCCTTTTCCACCTCCTCGTTGACTGACGGCTTGGGAGGGGAGAACAGAGCGGAGGGCAGCGCGATGACGTCAGACGGCGAAACTAGGCTGCGGGCGCCATCTTGGGGACGCCGGGGCGGGACTCGGGCGTCTAGGGCGCGTTGGGGGAAGTCGGGGAATTGAGGCACGCGACACCTGGGGGGCGGGGACTTGAGCCGCAGGAAACCCTGTGGGGAGAAAGTGAAGCACCAGTCAGCGCCTAGGGGAGAGGGAAAACTGGTGCATGAAACAGAGAGTGAGGAAAGGGGGAAATTAAGGATCCATACTCACTTCATGGGAGAGGGAATGAAGATAGCAAGAAGGAAGGGGGTTAAAAACAGAGGGGAATTCTAGGGGGGAAGGGAATCAGGAAAAGCAAATAGAGGGAATCTGAGGGAACAAGGAAAACCTGAAGGATAAAGGAAGAAATGGAAAGTGGAGAAAGAGGAAGAGCAGGGACAGGCAATTTCATTTGAAGAAACGTAGTGTGGGTGGGTGTGTGTGTGAAGGGGTGTAGAGGACCTGAAAGACACTCGGGTGTAAGAGCCTAAAGGAAGTGACCCTGTAGCTGATTCAACTCTGATTCCTTCATAGTGGTGCTGACCCTGGCTGACCCCATACAGCTCGAGGGTGGGGTTCCCATGTGTCCGAGGGGCTTTGGCCATCCCTTCTCAACCCTCCCCTTCTGGCCCTCAGGGCCTTGGGATGGAGTTGCCCCGCCACTGTTAGAAATATTTCCAGAGCTACTCCTAGAACCCTAGGACAGGGGAGCTACAAGAGGCCTGGAGAGATTAACTTGGTCTAACCCTCCTATTTCTCAGATGAGGAAATTTAGGCTTAGAGGAGTTGAGTCATTTACCCAAGGCCAAAAAGCTGCAATGAGGGGACCAAACACGGTAAGACATATCACCCTTATCAAGGGTATCCCGCACTAGATTACACGGGACAAGATGTGGCAGTCTGCTTCCGTTAAGATTTACAGCCTTGAAAACCCTATAGGGCAGTTCTTCTCTGTCCTGTAGGGTTGCTATGAGTTGAAATAGACTCAGCAGCAGCGAGTTAGTGATGAGCATTAGGCTAAACTCCCTAACACCAGATCCATGGGGATAAACCAGGCTGCATGGATTGGAAGGCCCTGCCACTTCCTAGCTGTGACTTTGGGCAAGTCAACCTCCCTGTGCCTCAGCATCGTCATCTGTGAAATGGGCATAACAGCAGCCCCTGTCTCAGAGTTGTGAAGTGCAGAGTAAAAGCTATGTAACCAAAAAATCAAACCCACTGCCGTGGAGTTGATTCCGATTCACAGCAACCCCGTAGGACAGAGAACTGTCCCATAGGGTTTCCAAGGCTGTAACTCTTTACCGAACCAGACTGCCACATCTTTCTCCCAGGGGGGCAGCTGGTGGGTTCAAACCGCTGACCTTTCGGTTAGCAGCCGAGTGCTTTAACCACTGCAGCACCAGGGCTCCCAAAAGCTGTATAAGAGTTCTTTTTTCAGGTATGATTTTTTTTTTTTAAATTGTGATTTAGATGATGTAAGAGTTATTTTAATACCTCAAGGAGCCTTATAATGATAACCAACATCTGAGTATGTTATGATGTGCTAGGCTTTTTGTGCAGCGCTTTACACGTATTACTCAGTTTAATCCTCTCAACAATCCTATGAGCAAGGAACTGATAGCCTGACTTTATAGACAAAGAAACTGAGGCCCAGAGAAGTTAAGTAACTTGTCCACGTTCCCATAACTAGGAATTCCTGAGTCAGAGCCAAGATTCCAACCCAGGACAGACTCCAAGGTTTACACTCTTGGCCCTCAGGCTCTACTGTCTGGCAGGTGGGATGTTTCCATGGTTGCATGTTGAATGAATGAATGCTAGAAATAGAGGAAAGAAGCTGGTGGCATCAGAGAGCTTAAAGCTAGGGCCGGCCTGCTCTAAGGCAATCTAGGTTTGCCCTCAGGGTGAAATCACCTGGGTGGGAGTGAGAGTGGAATCTGGTGGTGTAGTGGTTAAGAACTATGGCTGCTAACCGAAAGGTTGGCAGTTTGAATCCACCAGGCGCTCCTCGGAAACCCTATGGGGCAGTTCTGCTCTGCCCTATAGGGTCACTATGAGTCAGAAGCCACTCAATGGCAATGGGTATGGGAGTCAGAGAATCTAGCTAGAAATGACGCTCTACTTTTGACACCGTTCGTGCCCTTGGGCAGAATCTCGCTCCTTCTGAGGCTTCCTTTTCCCCTTCTGTAAAATGAGAGGTTCCAGCCTGGTTTCTCAGACCTCTTTTGCTGAGACCATCTGCTTGGACTTGTCTATCTGTCTGGGTTGGCTAGGCCCCTTCTCTTCAGATGATGTATACAGAAGTGAGAAGACGCCTCTATCAGTCTTTCTGGAGGTGGTGGCACAGGACTAGTGCTTTTGAGACAGGTTGAATTTAGAGAGGATAGATGTGTTCTGTCTATGCTGGGGTCCCTGCATCTGCAAAGGCCTAGAGGCAGGCGTGAGTCTGGGCTTTCAGGCCTGGCTGGAGCTGGTGGGGGCAGGGGGGTGGTGTGGTGCTAGGTGTTGCCCAAATAGGAGGAGGGGTGTGCAAAGTTGGTGGTCCTCCAGGATCAGTGTATGTTTCGGGTGTCGGGGATGCCCCACCTGCCAGCTGCAGAGGGCTTCCCATGCCACACTGGTGTGTGGCCTGAGAGTTGCCACGTGCTGGATGTGTGCGCGCGAGGCATTTGGTCACGTGTGCTGGAGGCCACACGTGAGTGTGTCTGTGTCTCCTCCCCATCACGAGCATGGGGGTGGTGGTGAGTCACGGGCTCAGCCTTCAGCGCCAACTGTCATGTTCCTTCCCCCCAAATTTCACCCCCCACCCAGCCGTGCGCCACCCACCCCCACTCCAAGATCTGTGTCGCTTCTCTCCTCCATCCCCCTGCCCTGCTCAGCTTCCCTCTGAGGCTCTGCAGGAGTGTTCCCTGGGAGAGAGTCTCCCACTTCTCCAAGCTCTGCCCTCCAGCTCCTCTGCACTTGTGGTCTGCTCCCCCTTTGCCCACTGCCTCTCTGCTTTGGCAACTAGAGAATGAGGGCCTCTTTTCCCCACCCACACATCTTTAGGGTCCCAGGGAGTCTCTATGGAGAATTCCTCTACTCACCACCCATACCCTCACCTCCCTGGGCCTCAAGTTCTGGAGGCTTCTCTCTTGTCTCCATGGTCTAGCCGCTGCTGCTTCAATGGGAGGAGGTGTGGGCAAAGTTGGTGGTCTTCTTGTCAAGTCCATGAGCCACATCCTTGTCTCCACGGGTCCCCTGGTTCTGTGGGTACCCGTTTCGATGGCCACCCCATTCCTGTGACCCTCTCCCTGCCTCGGTGGTATGCTTCCTCGTTCTCATTTCTGTGGAACTTTCCCCATTTCTGTAGCCCTCTTCTCAGGCTCGGGGCCTTCTCCCGGCACCATGAACTACGTCCCCATGCCCAAGGACGTGAGGAGGCGTGCTTTTGGTCTCCCCTGGCCTCTCCATGACTTCCTCCATCTCCAGGGGAACTCTCCCTTATCTCGAGGATCCTTTCGGTTATCTTCTGGGGCTGCTCCCTTGACTGGACAGGCCTTCTCTCTAATCTCTGGGCCTTTTCCTGTCCTTGTCCTTGTGGGGTTTGTGGGCCTTGGCCCACCCCTCTGGGTCCTGTTGGCTGTCTGTTTCTTTGCATTTTTCATCTTCTCCCCCCATCTCCGTGGCCTTCTCCTTAGGTCTCCTCGCCTCTCAGCTCCGTGGGTTCCTGTGCCTGGGGCTGCCTGGGCAGGGCGGTGGCATGGTGTGGTGGAGGGGGTGGCCCGGGGGCGAGTCCTCCATCCAATGCAGCTCCTTCCTCTCATCAGCATTCTCCTCGCAGCCCCCCAGCCCCGACCAATACGGCTTCCCCTCCCCCGACTCCCCTCCCTCGTTGCTCTCAGCCTGCCTCCCTCCCTCCCTTCCTCCTGCCCGCCCTTCTCCCTGTCTTCCTCCCTCCCTCATCTCTCCCCCCGGCCCCCCCCACCTCGCGCGCTCCAGGACCCAGCGCGGGCGAGCAAGCGGGCGGGCGGGCAGGCTGGCAGGCTGGCAGGCAGGCAGGCAGGCAGGCAGGGGGGCGGCGGCCTCGGAGGGGAGAAGGAGCGGCGCGGCAGCCAGCAGCGGGGAGGCAGGCCCAGCTGGGGACCCGGAGCCGGTGGCTGCTCCTCGCAGGGGACCAGGAGTCCGTGGCCAGGCCCTCCCACAGAGGCCCTGTGCCCGGCACCCCGGGACACCCCACCCTCCTCCACCTTCCTCTTCCACCTGCTCCTCTCCATCCTCTCCTCCCTCCTGCTTTTCCTCCTCCCCCACTTCCCCCTCTTCATCTCTCCACCCCGCCCGCCCCCTCGGCCTCTCTGGGTCTCCCAGGATCCCATCCTCCCAGCCCCTCCACTCCTCAGCCTCTCCCCGCCCCCGGCATGCTTTTCCCGTGGGGGCTGAAGGTTTGAAGGCTCCGGGCCTTTGCCTCATCCAGGGCAGGGCCAAGGCTCCAGGGGGGAGGGGGGGAAGGGGGTAACCCCCTCCCCCCAAGCAGGCCCTCCCCTCCCCCATCTCTCCTGATGGCCAGCTGCCTTTTCTCCACCCAGTCATCGCCCCCTGTGGCCCCCCCAGGCCGGCCAGGCTAGGGGAGGGGGCAGGGGCCCTGTCCCGGGCCGGCTTCCCCCTCCCCCGGCTCTGCTTGCGCCCCCTCCCTTCCGTTTTCACCTTCCTCTCCTCCCTTCCTCTCTCCTTCCCCTCCATTTGCTCCTTCCCCCTTCCTCTCCCCTTCTCTCCTCCATTTTCTCCTTTCCCCTTCCTCCCCTCCCTGGCCCGCCCTCTCCTCTTCCACCTGTCCTTCCTCCCCCATCCCGGGAGCCACCGTTTTGGATTAGTTGGGGGCCACCGCCGGCGGCGGGGGAGGGGGCCCCTTGGACTGCCCTCTCCCCCCGCCCCAGCCACACCACCACCCAGCGCCTGAGCATCTCCCATTGTCGTTTGCGGGCCTCGAGGGAGCCCAGCCCTCCGTCCCACCAGGATCCGTGAGTGTCTGCAGGGTGGGGATTGGGCTGGGGCCTGGCCTGGGTCCTGGAAGGCTGGACTCACCACTGTCGCCTGGCCGGGTCCCCATGTTCCGGACCAGAAATGCTCTCCCCAACCAGGGGGCTGCCCTGCGCCCTCTGCCTCCCCAACCTCCGTCCCCCTCAGCCTTTCCTCACCCCTTTCTTCTGGGTGCACAGCTCGTCCCCCGTCCCCAGTCCTCCAGCTTCCTGGGATCCTGAGGGGCTGCCCGGCTCTTACTTGTGGTCCATCACTCCTTGGGCTCCTGGCATGTCTCCGCCTGCTTTCTCCAAGCCTCCGTCTGTCTGCTGTGACGGTCTCTCGCTCACTGTCTCTCAGTCTCTCTTTTTCCCTCTGAGCCTCATTTCCTTCCTGCCATGGGTCCGTCGCTGTCCTGTCCTGTCTCTGTGTCCTGGATCTGTCTTTCTGCTTCTGAATCTCCATTTCATGTGTCTCTTGGGCCTCTCTCTGACTCTGCCCAACTTCTCTCTGCTCTTAGCCTACCCTTTCTTGGTGTGTCTCTGTTGATACTGCTCTCATGCTCTCGAAACTCTGCCTCTGTTTCTCTCTCTCAGAGGCTTCTGAGCCCTGTCTAGTTCTCTCTCCACATCCTCTTCCCTGTTCTGCTTGTACCTCTCTTCACCTGTCCTCGTCCCTCTCTAACTCTGGGCTTGTAGAGCAGCTTCCTTCTCTCACTTTTCAAGGCCCCCCTCGAGCCCCTCCCTGCTTGATCCACTCTGGGTCCCCTGCCTCCTCCATCCCTCGCTCCTCAGCCCTGCCTGCACCCTCAATCACTTTGTCTTTGGTGTTCTCTCTCTTCCCACCCTCCTGATCCTCTCTGCCCTTCTGCATTACCCCACTGGCCTTTCTGTCCCCATTCCTCCCTGTGCCTCTGGGGCTGGCGGGCTCCTGGCCCTTTTTCTACCCACACTGTAGCTCAGCGTGTCTCAGGTGGGTGCACTTCCACGGCGGCTGCCTCCCTCCAGGTCACTCAGTCTTCCTCCAGGCCTCAGTTTCCCTCCCTGACTCTCTCTCCATCGCTGTCTCCCCTGGTGCTTCTGGGAACCTTGTGCTTCCTCCGTGGACTCTTTCCCCTTCCTCTCTGTAGGTCTCGCTGTGCAGCTCTGACATACTTTTTTCTCTCCGTCTCTCTCTTTCAGACCAGCCGCCTCACTCTCTCTCTTTTTCCAGAGTTTGGCTGTTTTTCCCCTCCTCTCGCTGCTTGTCGCTGTTATCTTTTTCTCCCTCTCCCTCACCTCCCTTGCCTTTTGCTCACTCCGTTTGCCTTCCCAGCTTTGTCACTTCAGCTGCTCACTCGCCCACTTGTGTCTCTCCTCTGGCTGGGCCGCTGGCTCCACCCCTTCCACTCAGCCTTTAGCGCTTTCCCACCTTGACCTCTATCAGCCTGAGTCGGCCTCAGGTCAGCCTCATTGCCTTCCCCGTCTTCTCTCTGGCCCCTTTGGCGTCTCATTTCTAGACTCTGTCTGTCTATCCTTTCCTCTCTTTTAGTCCTAGTGACTTCCTTTTGGTCTGTCTGTACCTTCGTGTGCCTCTGTGTCCATCCGCCCACCCACACCTGTGTCCCTGCACATTGTCTCTGCCTTTCTGCCCCCCCCCCCCGTCTGCCACCTGTGGGTTCTCCCTTCATCCCCCCGCCCCCCCGACGTCTGCCACCTGTGGGTTCTCCCTTCATCCCCCTGCCCGCCCCCGTCTGCCACCTGTGGGTTCTCCCTTCATCCCCCTGCCTCTCCCTCCGTCTTTGTGCCCTCTAGTCTCTGCCCCCGGATTTGCCCAGCACTTCTGGCCCACCTGCCCCCAGCAGCCCCTGGTGTCCCAGGATGACTGGCCTCTCTCCTGGCCCCGCCCTCCACACCCTCAGGGGGCTGTGGGTTCTCCTCTTCACACCTCCGGTCTCTGTGCCTCCCTTGACAAGCCCTCACCTTAGAAGGAAGTTACAGGTCGCAGCACCCAGCCAGCCCACCATGCCCTCCCACTCCCTAGCCCCTTTCCCAGAGAGAGAGGCTGCTCAAGGTCATGCAGTGAGCCCGGGGCAGAGCAGGGACGGATGGGGGCCTCTGCTGCCCTGGCCTGGGCTGGCCTGGCCCCAGGAGCCAGGCTGAAGTGTTGAGCTGTGGCCCTGCCCTTCCCTAGCAGTTCTCATTCTGCCACCTCACCATCTCAAGTCCTCCTTCCACGGGCTGGGGGGCTGGGGTACAGGGTCAACTCACAGCACGCTGGGTTCCATAGTAACCCTCTCCCATGGAAATCCAGTGTCCCTTCCCCTGGGGCACTGCCCTCAGCCAGGGGAGCCTTACATCTGGCCACACTCATCCATGCCCAGTAGGGTGAGAACCTAGAGGCTGCCCTGCAGCAGGCCAGGGGCACCCAGAGGAATTCCTGACTCCCCAGGGGTGAGACAGTTGTGAAGAGCAAAGATGCATCTTCTCCCCCTTGTCCTCAGCTCCCCAGATCAGGGCAGCAGTGTGGCACCCACTCTGTGAGGCGGCCTACTCCCTGCTTTCCCCACTGTCTCCCCTCCCGGCTCTTTCGGGTCGCACTCCAAGTCTGTGTCCTCTCTCCATCCTCTGTCTTCCTCATCCTGTCTCTCTTGCATCTTGGTGTCCCACTCTGTGGCTGCTTCTCTCTACCTGTCCCTGCTTCTGTCCTTTCTCTATCTGCACGTCTCCCTCTCTCTTTCTCTCTCCTAGTCCTGTAACTCTCCTTATCTGTGTCCCCATTTCTGTCCCCACTTGCCTCTCGGATCATCTTCCATCCGCTTGGGTTTCTTAGTTTCTTTTTCTGAGTCCCTCATCCTTCCTCTCTCTAAGCCTCTTTTACTCTTTCTGTCTCTCTGCTCTTTTCCTTTTACCCGCTTTGCCGTCCCGTGTCCATCCGTCTCCGTCTGTGTCTCCATGTGTCTGTCTCTCTCTCCGTCAAGTTTCCTCACTCCCGGATACTCTCCCCTCCAGATCCCCGATGTCCAGGCCTCTGTCCCCGTGGGATTGTGGGAACCAGGGATGTGGGATTGTGGGAACCAGGGACGTCAGAAAGGTGGCAAGTGAGGCCTGAGGTGGGGTTGCCTAGCAACCACCGCATCCTCTCCGGCTGGTTTCTGTTGCCTAGTGACAGCCGCCTGCCCAGAGACGGGCAGGACTGGGTGAGGGGTGGTGGTGGTACTTTCTGGTTCCCTGTCGGGGTGGGGATGGTCCCTGGGTTTCTGCCCCTACCTGACAGCCATAAGTGCCTCCTCCCGTTTTGGTAGCTGTGAGCATCCTCTAGCAGGGCTTCTCCCTAGCAGTGCCCCGAGTGCTGTGAGCTCCCCTCTGGCAGTGCCCCTCAGAGCCTGAGCCTCCCTCCCAGCAGTAGCCTCAGTGAGCTTCCCACCAGGGCAGGGCCCTTCAGAGCCGCGAACTCCTCCCCCACAATGTCCTGGAGTCTGCCCCGACCTGAGTTGCCACCCCCTCCAGCAGTCCTCCAGGAGGGCTCAGTTTCCCCCCTGGGGTGGGGTCTCCCTGCAGGTGGCGAGTGGGGGCCGCGGCAGCTGCGTCCCCATGAGGAGGGGAGGAAGATGCCGGCTGAGCTGCTGCTACTGCTGATTGTTGCCTTCGCCAGCCCCAGCTGCCAGGTGCTCTCATCACTGCGCATGGGTGAGGCCTGAAATCACCCCGCTCTACGTCCTCAGAGACCCTCTCATCTGGCCCTGGGGCTCCTCTTTGGGGGCCCAGGCATGCCAGTCCCTTAGGACCCAGGAATCCGGGCCTCTCGTCTCAGTTTTCCTCAGGAACCAGCAGTCTAGGCTGCCAGTCTCTCCTCCCTCTGACTCAGGAGTCCACACCCCAACACCCTCCTCCCTCAGACTCAGAAGTCCAGGCCCCAGCCCCCTCCTCCCTCAGACCCAGGAGTCCAGACCTCAGCCCCCTCCTCCCTCAGACCCAGGAGTCCTAGCCCCAGCCCCCTCCTCTCTCAGACCCAGGAGTCCAGACCTCAGCCCCCTCCTCCCTCAGACCCAGGAGTCTAGGTCGCCAGCCCCCTCTTCCCTCTGACTCAGGAGTCCCTCAGCCCCCTCCTCCCTCAGACCCAGGAGTCCAGACCTCAGCACCCTCCTCCCTCAGACCCAGGAGTCCAGGCCCCCAGCACCCTCTTCCCTCAGACCCAGGAATTCAGGCCCCAGCCCCTTTCTCCCTCAGACCCAGGAGTGTAGGTCCCCAGCCCCCTTTGCCCTTGGGGAGCCAGGAGTCTGGTCCCCAGCCCCTGTGTCCCCTCAGCTGCAATCCTGGATGACCAGACAGTGTGTGGCCGCGGTGAGCGTCTGGCCCTGGCCCTGGCCCGCGAGCAGATCAACGGGATCATCGAAGTCCCAGCCAAGGCCCGAGTGGAAGTAGACATCTTTGAGCTGCAGCGGGACAGCCAGTACGAGACCACGGACACCAGTGAGCGGGGCCATAGGGGGTGTGGGGGGGTGAGGCAGGGCAGGCCACAGCTCTGCTCAGGCCTGTCCTCCTGTGGCCCTTAGTCCGCCCCTCTGCCCTGACCCCCTCAGCTTGGTCTTGTCCTCTCCTAGCTCAATCTTCCCCCTTCCCTTCTCCTTCCCCTAGGTGGTGGCTGCTGGGCTGGGTGGGTGGTGAGGCTGTGAGACCCCACGCCGCCCTGGAGGAGCTTAGAGACTCATTTGGGGACAACTGTCAGCCCCTAGAGCTGAGTAACTAGGGCGCAAGAGTGAGGCGAGGGGAGCTCAGGGTCAGGGTCAGCAAAGGCTTTCTGGAGCAGCCAGACTGAAGCTGAGCTTTGACAGGTGAGTGGAGGTAGAAAGAGGGGCATTGCTGAGTTTGCTCTGGGAAACACCTGCCAAGTAGAGGCGCGGAAATAGCTGTTGGATGCCAGCTGACTGCATCAATGTTAATAGGTATCCATTGAACAGATATCCTGGGGTCATGGACCTTCGGGAAATGCCACCTTAGAAAATGCTTTAAACAGTTTTCTTTCCTGCAGGCCTTATCAGAGGCTTTATTATATCCATATGTGATTCAAGTCGCTGAGAAGGAGAAAGGGGCAGTGTTTCCCAGACTTTTTTGACTGGTGCGTCCAGAACCCGGTTTGGGAGAAGCTGGGATGGAGAGTGAGGAGGCAGGTGGCATTCTAGGCTTGGGGCTGTAGTCTGAGAGCTCGTGGAGGAGGAGGGGATGATCAGAGCCAAGGAGCGGAGGGCGTGGGGTCGGACATCTCCTGGCCACCTGGACTGGGGGAATATTTAGGGGGATTGTGAGAGGCTTCTGGGCTGGTGTGTGACTGGGCGGTGGGAGGTGTGGCCGGGTAAATTGGCAGCCAGCTTGAGGAGGCCTGCAGTGCCAGGGTAAAGATGCCACCTTCACCCCTGGGCAGTGGGGAGCCATAAACGGGCTTAGACCAGGGACTGTGGTCAGAGCTGGGCTTCTGGAAGGTGAATCTGGAGGCTGGATATGAGGCAAGACATGGTGGGGTGTGGGGCAGGGGACTGAAAGCAAGGAGTTCAGTGAGGAGGCTGGTGCTTGCTTGAGTTGAGAAGTATAAAACAGGGCAGGGACAGAGGGGTTGAAGAGAAGGGGAGAGATGTGAGAAAATTGGAGGAGGAAGAAAGGACAGGAGTGGGTGACTTACTGGCTGTAAGGAGAGAGAGAAGGCAAGGATCATTCTCGGGTGTCTGGTCTGTGGGAATGGTGGGGCCCTCACCCATGTGGAGGACACAGAAAGAAAGCTTGGAGGAAGATGAGTTATTCAGTTATCATGTTTTTTAGTTGGATGTGTCGGAAGTCCAACTCAGGCTGGCTTAAGGAAAAAAAAGAACTTAAATCAACTCATGTTACTAAAAGGCCTAAAGATTGGTTTCGGGCATGGTTGGATCCAGGGGCTCAAATGATGTCCCAGGAATCTCTGTCTTCATCTGTGGGTCCTTCTTTTCTCTAGTTGGCTGTATTTTCATGTATGCCTTTCCCAGCTGGTGGCAGGATGGCCCCCTAGCAGCTCAGTGCTTCTGTCTCACCAGATTAGCAAACCCAATTGTAATTGTAGCAGAAGACCTGGGGAAGGCTCTCATTGGTCTGACTGGGGCCTACACCCATCTCTGAACCAATCGCTGTGATGAGAAGGGTGTGGTTCTGTGATTGGCCAGGCCTGGGGTGTATGCCAGTCAATCCTGGGAACCACCTGGGCTGAAGGGCAGGGATAGGTCTTGGGGAAGAATTAGGGCTCTGGCAGGCAAAACCAACAGCTTTCCACCTCCCAGTCTTGAGGAAGAGAAAGGAAGGAACAGGAGCAAGTAAATGTGACAGAAAAATGGTGTTCAGAGTGGTAGAGGGTCCAGGGGAACTCAGCTGTGGGGTTCATGTGGCAGGTTAGGGTTAGGTATCGGGTGCATCATGGTTTAAAAGGTGGGGAAGGATAAAGTCGGAGAAATCCAGCACTGGATCTGAGGCAGGAGGCCTCCGTGTCTTCTCTTCATCCCTTCCTTTGTTTCCCTGTTGGTCTGACTGTCCGTCTGTTGCTATGTCTCCCAGTCTCTCTCTGTCTCTTGCCCCCTCCTTTTGTCCACTGAGTTGGGTGGGGTCAGGGACTGGGTCTTTGAGTCCTGGATGGTGGTGGAGGATGAGGCAGCTCTGAACCTCTGGATCTTCTCCTGGGCCAGGTGGTCCCCTGGGGGTGGGGAAGGTGAGGAGGGGGAGGGTCGCTGACTTGGTGGTCTCTCCCCTGCCCCTGCAGTGTGTCAGATCCTGCCCAAGGGAGTCGTATCTGTCCTAGGACCCTCGTCCAGCCCTGCATCTGCATCCACCGTGAGCCATATCTGCGGGGAGAAGGAGGTGAGGCGGGGCGTGCGGGTGGGCCCCTGGGAGGTGAGGGTAGGGGAGGAGGGAGCAGGACCGAAGCAAAGGAGCCTTCTCTGTTCAGATCCCTCACATCAAGGTGGGCCCTGAGGAGACACCCCGCCTTCAGTACCTTCGCTTCGCGTCTGTCAGCCTGTACCCCAGCAACGAGGATGTCAGCCTGGCCGTCTCTCGAATCCTCAAGTCTTTCAACTACCCCTCGGCCAGCCTCATCTGCGCCAAGGCTGAGTGTGAGAGCAAAGAGCTAGGCATTTTATGTTTTGCTCCCCCAAGGCTCCCCTGCGGAGAGGCATCTGACAGCCGTCCAGGCCCCTGGTTATAACCCCTGGGGGCCCAGGCACCAGGCTCTCCTAGTCCCCACCAGCCCTCCCATTTCGGGTTCCACAGACTGACCCCCACTTCAAAAGAGACCCAGTCAACAGATAATTACCAAGCACCTACTGTGTGCAGGGCCCTCTGCTCGGCCCTGGAGGTCTCGTGGTGAGCCGCACTGGGCGGGGCCCCCGACGTTACAGAACTCCAAGTTAGCGGAAGACCTAGGAAGCTGAGCAGCTGTAATGCGGAGAGAAGCGTGCTCTGTCAGACCTACACGGGAGGGAAGTGCAGAGCTTGCATCCCAGAGAAAGGCACATCTAAGCTGGACCTGAGGTACAGGCTGAGCGGGGCAGGGGCCCAGGCGAGTGTGGTCCCTTTGAGAGGCTAAAAGCTGCTCTCAGTGGCCGGCGTGTCGGGAGCATGGAGCTAGGCCTTGTCTTGTTTCCTGCAGATAGTGCGGAGTTGTGGGAGCCTTCTCCACAGGGTGGGGCCAGGGGTGCAGCCAGATTTGCATTGTGGGACATCTCGTTAGCTGCCAGGTAGAGAAGGGACTGGCGAGGGGCATGAGATGTGACAGGAAGAAGGACACGTGGCCAGGTGGGGCGAGGGAATGCGGGTTTGAGTCAGGATGGAGAGGCCAGGATGGCTTTGAGGCGGAGAGCCGATGCTGAGGGATGGGTTGGAGGGAAAGGGGAGAGTGGAGTCCTGGATGATGACCAGGCTTTGCAGGAGGAGGAGGAAAACTGTTCAGTGAGGACGCGTTGGGTGTAATGTGTCTTTGAGACATTCAGGTGGAGGTATCCAGTAGGCTGGTGGATTTGTGGGTGTGGAGCTTGAGAGAGAGAGGACCATGCTCAGTTACTTCTAGAAGGAATTCGTCTTTCAGAAGGTGTTTATTAAACACTTGCTATGTGCCAGACTTTTTTTAGTATTAGGGACATGACAATGAATGAAACAGACAAAAATCCCCGCCCTTTTCAAACTTATATCCTAATGAGAAGAGTCAAGCAGCTGTTGGGTGTTGGTGAGTCGATTCTGATTCACAGTGACCCCATGTGACAGAGTAGAACTATCCTATAGTGTTTTCTTGGCTGTAATCTTTACAGAAGCAGATTGCTAGGCCTTTCTCCTGCAGAGCCACTGGGTGGGTTCGAACGGTCAACCTTTTGGTTAGCAGCAGAGCACTTAACTGTTGCACTGCCAGGAATCCTAATAAGAGTTAGGCAATTGGCATCATAAATAAGTAAATTATATATTTAGAGATAATAAGTTCTATGGAAAAAAAAATAGAACAGGGTAATGAGGATTGGGAGTGCTGGAAAACCCAAAAAAAACCCATTGCCGTCAAGTCAATTCCGACTCATAGCGACCATCTAGGACAGAGTAGAACTGCCCCATAGGGGTTTCCAAGGAGCAGCTGGTGGATTCGAACTGCTCACGTTTTGGTTAGCAGCTGAGCTCTTAACCACTGTGCCACCAGGGCTCCAAGGAGTGCTGGAGTAGGGTGCAACTTTAAATGGAATCTTTGGCTTGGACCTCACTGAGAAGGTGACATTTGGTCAGAGACTTGAAAGAAGTGAGAGAAGAGGCAATGCATATACCTGGGGGAGGAGTGTCCAGGTAGAAGGAACAGCCAGAACAAAGGCCCCAGGGCAGGAGCATGACTGGCGTGTGTGCGGAACAGTGAAGAGGCCAGTGTGGCTGGAGGGAGTGAATGAGGAGGAGTGGGAGAGATGAGATAAGCAAGATGACGAGATGGGCGGGCAGATTGTGCAGGGCCTTGTGTGCCTTGGTGAGGACTTTGGCCTTTACTCTGAGAGAAATCGGAAGCCATTCGAGGGCTTGGAGCAGAGGAGGAATGTATCTGATCTACATCGTTCTGGCTGCTGTGTCAGGAATAGACTCTCAGGGGGCAAGCATGGCTATTACAACAGGCAAGAGATGGCAGTGGCTTGGGCCAGGGTAGTGACAGTGGTGTGATGTGATGGGGTCTGATAGATGCATATATATATATATATATATATATATATATACATACGTATGTTTAAATTATTTTGTTGTTGTTGAGAATATACACAGTAAAGCATGCACCAATGCAACAGTTTCTACATGTACTATTCAGTGATACTGATTTCATTCTTTGGGTTGTACAACCATTCTCACCCTCCTTTTCCGAGTTGTTCGTCCCTTATTAACATAAACTCACTGTCCCTAAGGTTCCTATCTAATCTTTGGAGTTTCTTTTATGAGTTTGATCCCGTATAGATAGACCTTAAAATAGTGTCATGCTCAAGGCAGACACTCCACTAGTTAAGCTAAACTGTTGTTTGGTTTTAAGAAGACTGCCAGTGATATTTTTGGTTTAAGGTTTAAAAATTATCTCAGGGCGATAGTTTTGGGGGCTCATCCAGCCTCCATGGCTCCAGAAAGTCTGGAATCCATGAGAATTTGAAATTCTGTTCTGAATTTTCCCCCCTTTTGATCAAGATTTGTCTATAGACACTTTGTTCAAAATTTCAGTAATGGTAGCCAAGCATCATCCAGTTCTTCCGGTGTCATGACAAAGGAGGCAGTTGTTCGTGGAGGCAATTAACCATACATTCTATTTCCTTCTCTTATTCCTGCTTTTCCTTCCTCTGTTGCTTCAGATGAATAGAGACCAATTGTTTTGTCTTGGATGGACACAAGAGTTGTGTTTGATTTTTTTTTTTTAAATTTTTTTTATTATACTTTAGATGAAGGTTTACAGAGCAAACTAGTTTCTCATTAAACAATTAATCCACATATTGTTTTGTGATATTGGTTGCCAACCCCATGACATGTCGATACTCTCACCTTCTTGACCTTGGGTTGCCTATTACCAGCTTTCCTGTCTCCTCCTGCCTTCTTGTCCTTGCTTCTGGGCTGGTGTGCCCATTTAGTCTCATTTTGTTTTATGGGCCTGTCTAATCTTTGGCTGAAGGGTGAACCTCAGGAGTGACTTCATTACTGAGCTGAAAGGGTGTCTGGGGGCCATACTCTTGGGGTTTTCTCCAGTTTCTGTCAGACCAGTAAGTCTAGTCTTTTTTTTTTTTTTTTTTTTGGTGAGTTAGAATTTTGTTCTACATTTTTCTCCAGCTCTGTCCGGGACCCTGTATTGTGATCCCTGTCAGAGCAGTCAGTGGTGGTAGCCAGGTACCATCTAGTTGTGCTGGACTCAGTCTGGTGGAGGCTGTGGTACTTGTGGTCCATTTGTGCCTGATATGTTTTGAGCCGACAAGATTTGTAGATGGAGTGGGCATGGGTGTGAAAGAGAAGAAGCAGGGCTGACGTCGGGGTAGTGGCCTGAGTGCCTGGAAGGATAGAGCTGCCGTCCATGCCACGGGGAAGGCTGGAGGTGGTGGTTTAGGAGAGAGGAGCAGGATGTGTCAAGTTTGACATCCTGCCAGTCATCCCAGTGAGGAGGTCAGGAAGGAGGCAGGAGTCTGGAGTTCTGGGGAGAGGTCTAGGCTGGAGATTTTAATTTGGGAGAACCTAGGGACCAGATCCCAGAGCCCAGTGCCCTGAGAGACCCAGCTGCACTCTAGACAACTGCCCCCCATCTCCAGTCTCTCCCCAGCTACCCGTGTTGGGGACGAGGAAGGGGTTTCTGCCCTATGCCTGGGCCCATGGAAGGCTCTACCCCTCCCTCAGGCTTGCTGCGATTGGAGGAACTGGTGCGCGGCTTCCTCATCTCCAAGGAGACGCTGTCGGTGAGGATGCTGGACGACAGCCGGGACCCCACGCCACTGCTCAAGGAGATCCGCGACGACAAGGTGTCCACCATCATCATCGACGCCAATGCGTCCATCTCCCACCTCATCCTCCGCAAGGTGCGCCCCTCCTTGCCTCCAATTCCCTGAAGGGTCGGGGGCAGAAACTAACTGAGCAAGTCACCCAGTGCCCGTGGGCCTCAGTTGCCCCAGGGGTCAGATGTAGGCCTTGAGACCCTCTGCTCAGAGCAGACGTGCAGATGATAACCAGGAAGCTGGTCCCTCAGCTCACCTCACCTCTCCGGGAAGTGAAGACAATTGTAGCTCCTATCTCAGTGTGCTCTTGTGAGAACTAAATGAGCCAGTGGTGCGTAAAGGGCTTAGGATGGGGCCTGGCCCAGAGGAAATGCTGGCTAGTTGGTTCTAGTACCAGTTGCCATGGAGTCGATTCCAATTCATGGTGACCCCATGTGTGTCAGAGTAGAACTGTGCTCCGTAGGGTTTTTAATGGTGAATTTTTCAGAAGTAGCTTGCCAGGCCTTTCTTCTGAGGCCCTTCTGGGTAGACTCGAACTTCTAACCTTATGGTTAGCAGTCAAGCACATTAACCATCTGTACCACCCAGGGACTCCAGCTACATGTAGCTATGTTATTTTTGCAAGTGGCTCTGTGTTGAGGTGCTTTGCATGTATTATTTACTTCGCCTCTCCTCCTGCTCTGTGGGGCAAGTATGATGATATTTTGTGGGTGAAGAAGCTGGGGTTCAGAGGGGAGAGGCCTGGCTCAGTTCACATAGGAGGGGCCAGTGCCAGGACTGTCCCCCAGGGCCCGACATTTTCTGTCTGCCAATGACCCACACTCATTAATCATTAATAGGCTTCCCTGCTCTTAATTTTTCTTCTTAATCAAATTTGTATTATTTATTTTTCTCCAGTGGCTTTTTTTTTTTTTTTATTAAAACCTTATGTCACTGCTGATCGTAGCTTACAGGAAGAAGTGTGAGTGGAATCCATAGGGCTCTGAAGTAGGAGGGCTTGTGGAAAAGATTTTGGGGTACAGGCAGGCCTGGGCTGGAATCCCGGCACCTCCCTTGGGGGTTGTGTGACCAGTTGTCACTTCTCTCCAAGCTTGTACTTCCCTCTGTGGAATGGGGCCATAACCCATGGGATAGTGCTGAGTCTAGATCCTGCCAGGGTCCTCGAAGCTGGCATCGTTTAATATTGTGATTATTGAAGGGGAGCCAGGACTGGGCCTTGCCGGCCTGGAGAGGTTTCCAGCTTTGTTCTCCTTGAGGTCTATGAGAAAACCACCAATCGGTTGCCCTTAGGTCAATTCCGACTCATGGTGACCCCATGGTAATGCACTCAGCTGCTAACTGAAATGTTGGAGGTTCGAGTCTACCCAGAGGAGCCTCAGAAGAAAGGCCTGGTGATCTACTTCCAAAATATCAGCCATTGAAAACCCTATGGAGCACAGTTCAACTCTGACACACTGGGGGCCGCCATGACTTGTGGGAAGAGGTGGCTGAAAAATTCAATCTCGAGATTCAAATGGGCTGCCTTTTTGTTGATGCAAAGCATCTTTAAAGATTGCAGGAGTAGTTTTTCTGACCACGTGACCAGGCTGAGCTCTCCATGTTGGCCACCCAAACTTGGTTTTGGGCTGGGTGAGGATTAAGGTTTCGTTTCCTGCCCCACCTGTCTCTGAGGCTTCCGTTTGCCTGTTTCCAGAAGGAGATCTTCTGAGTTCCCTAATTCGGGACAGGGGCATTCAGGGGCCCCATTCTCAACTCCAACAATATCTCCATTCTACCTGGGTTGCCAGTCAGTGGGATGGGGCATGAGGAGCCAGGTCTTCCTCTGCCCTCACAAATCTTCTTCTCATCTCTCCTTGTCTCTGGGGGTCTGTTAACTGTGTTTTCAACTGGGTATCTCCTTGCCGGACCTGCCTCATAATCGCGCTACCTCTCCTGAGTTCTCCCCACCTCGGCCTGTGGGTCTCTGTCTCTCACGCGGCCTCTTTGCATCACCTGTGTCCCCCAGGCCTCGGAGCTGGGAATGACCTCAGCGTTTTACAAGTACATCCTCACCACCATGGTGCGTACCCCCTCTAGCCCTCCTGCCCCCACTTCCCTCCCGCAGTGTCTGCCCTCTTGGCTCCCCGCCCAGGCCTCACCGCCTCTCCTTGGTGCCAGGACTTCCCCATCCTGCACCTGGACGGTATCGTGGAGGACTCCTCCAACATCCTGGGCTTCTCCATGTTCAACACCTCCCACCCCTTCTACCCCGAGTTCGTGCGCAGCCTCAACATGTCCTGGAGGGAGAACTGTGAAGCCAGCACCTACCCGGGCCCCGCGGTGAGCACATGCCCTGGCCCCTGACACACAGACCCCCAGTCACACCCAGAGACATACGTGTGAACCCCTTTCAAACCTTGGTCAGATAATGCTCAGGAGCTGTGGGCTCCCAGTTGCTGTCAGCGTAAATGTCACCAAGGCTCACGTGGGGTCCTGAGACAGGCCTGACTGCCGTGGCCCTCCTCTCCACCTCCCCCTCGGCCCCAGCCACACCAGCCTCCTCAAGGTGCCCCGATGCCCCAAGCACGTGCACACCCCAGGGCCTTTGCACCTGCTTTTCCTGTCACACGCACTGTCCCAGTGAACCAGTGGCTCGCTCCTACCTCTCAGGGTCTTTGCTTAAATGTCCCCTTGGTTGTTGTTCCTTGGTCCCTGTATTTAACAAATTGCAAACTACCCACTTCTTGGAGCCCTGGTGGTGCAGTGGTTAAGAGCTCGGCTGCTCACCGAAAGGTCAGCAGTTCAAATCCACCAGCCACTCCTTGGAAACCCTCTGGGGCAGTTCTACTCTATCCTGTACGGTCACTATGAGTCAGAACTGACTCAACGGCATCTAACAACAGCAACGACCCACTTCTTAGCCCCCTTCCCTGCCTTCTTCTCCTAGCAGCTCTCTCTGCTCATCTGATTGCCATGTGGCTTCCTCTGTATTTTTGGTTCTATATGTACACACAGATTCTAAGTTCCATGAGGGCAGGGGTGTCTGTCTGTTTTGTTCACCATTGTATCCCCAGCACCTACCACAAAGCCTGCTCGTAGTAGGGTGTCCAAAAAATATATGCTGAATAATGCAGACACAGAAAAATGCATATTTATGTGTATTTGTTCACAGAAAGGCCCAGCACACGGAGCCGTGCAGTTGGACGTGTGCAGGCAGACACATCACACGCATTGACATGAGACAGGCTCGTTCACAGGCACCCCTGTGCACTCCTACAGGACACGGACATTCCCCCTCACACAGACACAGCTACAGTGTGCTCTCACACACGCACACCCACGTGGTCGCCAGGCACAGTGCAGTGACCCGTGTGGACCAAAGGCTTCCCAGGTGCCAGGCACTATCCTGACCACTGTACATGTGTTACCTCATTCAGTACTTCCAGTAGCACTCTGAGGCAGAGATTCTTATCATCCTTATTTTACAGGGGAGGAAACTGAGGCTCGAGAGATGCAGGGACTTGGTCATGGTCACAGAGTCAGGAAATAGTAGAGGTGGGCCTCTGCTCAGAGCCGCTTGCCTCCCAGGCCAGGCTCGTGACCGTCATCCTTTTCTGCCCCCCTGTACATCATGCCCATACGTGAATAGAGCAGACGCACCTTCGTCCAGCCCCGTGCACAGAAACATGCCCTAGACCCACCGACACCGTGTGGCTGTCTTCCTCCCCTGCACTGGCCATGTAGATGCAGCTTCCCAGCACGCCGTAGGCCCACAACACCCCCCATGTGGGTGACGCAGCTGGTCGTGCAGACAAAGCCCCCTGGATATGCCCTTCCCTGGACAGAGACATGACCACACCCAGTCAGGCAGAGCTGCACCCACAGAAGTGTGGGTAACAGGTCCACCTTTCGTCCCGTCATTCACAGTCCCTGAGTAAGACACCCAGGGCCCCTTCCTTACTCCTTAGCCACCCGGTTTCCCATTCCTGGGGAGAGACGAGTTGCCTGAGGATGTGGGGGGCTCCCCTGGCTAAGCTGCCTCCTTCCCGTCCCCCTGCCTGTCCCCCTACTTACAGCTGTCGGCTGCCCTGATGTTTGACGCTGTGCACGTGGTAGTGAGTGCTGTCCGAGAGCTGAACCGCAGCCAGGAGATCGGCGTCAAGCCGCTGGCCTGTACTTCGGCCAACATTTGGCCCCACGGGACCAGCCTCATGAACTATCTGCGCATGGTGAGCTGGGGGTGGGGGAGGCAGAGGGTGCAGGGCAGCTGCCACCCACGGATGGGGCACTCACTGTGTCCCTCCGTGGCCCTCTCTGCCTTCTCCTCCCACCTCCAACTCCACTCCCCGCCTCGGCTCTACTCTGCCCTTTCTCCACCTGTCTGGGGAACCTCTCTCTCGGGTTCTCTCTTCCTCTGTTCCTTTGTTCCCACCTCCTCATCCCCCTGCGTGTGGCTCCCTGCATGTTGTCTTGCTCTTTCGACTACTGTCCTTCCTGGTTCCTCGCCCGTGTCCCCTCCACCCCTGTCTCTGCACCTTCCTCTGTGGGGGTCTTGCCCCCTCTGGGCCCCTGCCACCCTTCCCTCTGTCCCGCCTCCCCGCCCTGCTAGGTAGAGTATGATGGGCTGACCGGGCGGGTCGAGTTCAACAGCAAAGGGCAGAGGACCAACTACACACTGCGCATCCTAGAGAAGTCCCGACAGGGCCACCGCGAGGTAAGCAGACCCAGGGCAATGCTAGAGCCTGACGGGAGGGTCGGGGTGGCCCAGGGGGGTCTGCGTCCCTAAGCAGGGCCTGCACTGATGGTGCCCTTTCTGTACCCAGATTGGGGTGTGGTACTCTAACCGGACCCTAGCCATGAATGCCACCACCCTGGACATCAACCTGTCACAGACGTTGGCCAACAAGACGCTGGTGGTCACCACCATCCTGGTGAGTGGCTCTAGTTGGGGAGCTGAGGGTGGGGGGCCTGAATGCTGTGCCTTTCCTGAGTGGTGCCCTGAGTCCAGCCCTCTTCCCCCTGGGAAGTGGAGAGATGCTGTGGCCAATACAAGCCTCTCAGGCCAGCAGGGGGACGTGACACGTGCACCAAGTGGCCTCAGATTGTAGCCAGGACATTGCCACCCTGCCCGCTGGCCACACAGTGAGGGCACAGGCTATGCCCTCAGCCAGGTGCAGCCCCGGCTCTGCATGGCCTGAGGACGGCTCTCTACCCCCGTGAGCTGCAGTGGAGCAGCGAGGAGGGCAGCACAGCTCCCGGGGCCACGTCTGGTCCTCAGGAGGCCACAGAAACCACAATCGCTGGAATGGTCATTTTGTCACACTTGCCCACTGGATGTGTCAACTTACTGAACATCCGTTTGGGAGATGTGGAAACTGGGGATCAGAGAGGTAAAGCGACTTGCCCAGGGTCACACAGCAAGAAGGTGGCATAGCCAGGCCCAGAAGCCGTGTCCCTAGGGCCCCAGAGCCTTAGTCTTAATCGCTGTGCTCTAAATTTCCAGTCCTGGCACGTGAGTACCAGCTGAAGACTGCAGCCCCTGGTGCGGCCATGCCCACATTTTTACCAGTCGGAGAGCTGAGGCCCAGAAGAAGACGGTGTAGAAAATCCGACAGGGGGCCTTCATGCATCAGCAGATGTTCTTTGAGTGCCTCTCCTGCACTGAGCGCTGCATGAGGCCCTTTCCCGGGTCACTCTTTAAACCTCACGGCTGCCCTGTGGGCCACACCCAGTACCTGGCATGGAAGTCCAGGAAGCAGCCACAGTCCCTGGTGGAGTAAGGGTCAGGCCCCAGAGCCTACATCCCCTCCACCGCACCCTGCTGCCTCCCGCCAGGCACAGAGGGTCAGCAGGACTGGAGGAGTCAGGGAGAGGGTGATGCCCACGGGCCTGGTGAGCAGGAGGCTTCCTGGCAGGGCCGGGCATGACAGGCAGCCACATTCTTCATGAGTCACCTGCATCCATGGCCCTGTGGCATCTGGTGTCCACAGGAGGCCCTTGGTGACTGTGAGCTGGGCCGATAATAGCTGTGGGCTGAGGTTCGGAGAGGGTTACCATAGGGTTCCACAGGATGTAAGAGGCCCCTAAAGCAGGGATTCGCAGAGCCATCCCCTCAGGTCCTAGGGAATTCCTGATCTGAAGGGGACCTCGCATCCCTCTGGAGAAGGGCCAGTGATCCCGCTGTGGGGACAGATGGCCTACAGAAGGGAAACCAGACGTGTAGTAGCAGCCTCCCCAAGGGGCCGTGAGGGCTGGGCCAGGCTGGCTGGGGGAAGTCAGCACTGCGCATGGGTGTGTGAACATAGAGACGGGGTCCTGGGTGGGGATCAGGGGCAGAGGTCAGGGTGGGGATGTCAGGAGAGCTGAGCCATGATGCCGGGGGGCTTCGATCTCTTTCTTACACTCCTTTCATCTCCTCAAGCCTTGAGAGCCAGTCTTGGTCATCTCTTCCCAACCCTCACTCTCATTCTTCTTTTGGTGGATTGATTCACTTATTCATTTCACAAGTATTTACCGAAGCAGCTGTGTGCCAGGCCTTCCACAAATTCCGAAGGCACAGACATGAGTCACAGGTGGTCTCGTGGTTTGTTTCCCCGCTCTCGAGTGGTGTTGAAAGAGGGTCTCCCAGTCTGACGGAGGAGACAGACCTGGACACAAACATTCCAACATGGCAACGAGCGCTGAGGAGCCCCCAGAGAAAGGAGGAGCTGGCTCAGCTTTAAAAGGCTTGAGGAAGGCTTTCCAGAGGAGGTGGTATCAGGTGGGGTTTTAGAAGTTGCGTAGGAGTTTGGGTGCACAGAGAAGGAGGGTGGCGTATCCTGGGGAGCAGAGCAGCAGGGGCAGAGACCTCAGCAGGTGTTTGTCACATTGAACGCGGAGGCAGTGGGAAGTTGGTGTGCACTGCTGGACGTACTCCATGCATTCATGAACGTTTTCTGACGTGTGTTTTTGGGCAGGACCTGTGTCAGGCACTTGAGGATTTGGACGTAAACCAAACGGGGTGCCTGATCCAAGATGTAGGCTGGGACTTGTCTTACTGCTTGCTCTGTCCCCAGGGCCTAGAACAGTGCCTGGCACAGAGCATGCACGGGGAGGGGGTGAGTTCAGGGGGCTGTGGGCAGCAGGTGGGGGAGGACCTCTGAAGGACCCCACTCTGCTTCCACTTTAGCTTGGGGGCATGGGGAACTAGGGAGGGTGTTGAGCAGGAAGAGCCAGGACCCAAACTGCATTCAGGAAAGCACTCGGCGCACCCGCCAAGAGAAGCCGCAGGAGAGGAGAGGTGGTCCTGGTGGGAGAGGACGAGGCCTGGACTGGGGCCAGGGCTGAGGCAGGGGCGTTGGCAGGGAGAGGGGGAGTCAGAAGTGCTGTTAAGATGCAGCACTGCTGGCATGGTGTCCAACGGAATAGGTGGAGAGAGGGAGCAGGAGGAGGCAGAGGATGGGGTGGTGGGTGGGCTGCCCCTGGGGTGGGGACTCATAGGTCTGGAGCTCATAGAGCATGGGGCTGGCTACAAGACGGGGTGAGGCCCCACAGGGGAGGTGGGAGGGCAAGAGCAGGCCCAAGGAGACAGAGGCTTTGCAGGAGCCTTCCCTCCTCAGCACCGGGTCCCACTCCCTCATTGTGAATTTTCTCGGAGCATCCCGTTGGTCCACAGTTGAGTCCCTTCATCAAGCTGTGACCCCTCATCCTACTCTTTGGTGACTGGTGCAGCAGTCAGAGCCTCTACTCTGGAGCCAGGCAGACCTCGCCCTACCCCTGACCTCGCCCTCTACCAGTCCAAGTCCTTTAACTGCAGTCTCCATTACCCTCATCTATAGAACGGGTCCAGTGAGCCCACTTGAAGGGCTATAGGGAGGATTGCGTGGGACAAGAAAGCCGCCCTTGCAGAGCCTAGCCTGGAAGACATGCTCAGTATGTGTAAGCTCCTGTCCCTTTTTCTTGTTCCTGATCTTTGATAAAATAGCAATAATCATAGCTAATATCTGTGAGCACTGTGCTAAGTTCTTTACGCGTGTTAACTCATTTGATCTTCACAACAGCCCTGAGGTTGGTACCATTATGACCCCCATTTTTCAGATGAAAGAAATGAAGCCCCAGGAGGGCTAAGTGGCATGCCCAAGGCCACCCAGCTAGAGGTGGCAGAGCGAATTTGATATCCAGAGGCTTTGCCCCACACTGCCTTGATTTCTGCTTCTATCCAAGCCTGCAGAGCTACATTCTAGGCCTATCTCTGCATCCACATGCTGTGTGACTTTGGGCAGGTCTCTTCTCCTCTTCTGTCCTTAGTTCTCTCTTTTCACATGAAGAGATTGATTAGAATATTCATCATACAGTGAGGTGGTTGGACTAGATTAGGTTGTTTAAATTATACTCCAGGAAGTCCTGGGCATAAATTTGGGTCCTGCGTTCATGAAAGGACCCCGGGCAAGCTTATGAGGAATATTCTAGAATGCACTCTACTTTAATTTTTTGTTTTTAGTTTTAAGATATTTGTATTAAAGTGTAATGTGCACGTAGAAACGTATAAATCATAAGCGTACCTTTTGTTGAATTTTCACAAACTAAACACACCTATGTAATCAGCTCCCTCACCCTGAAGCCTCCTTGTGGGCCTTCCAGTCACTAACCCCCCAAGGGTACCTGCTATCCCAGTTCTGTCATCATTGATTAGCTTTGCCTGCCTTTGAACTTCCTATAAATGACATTGTTCTGTATGTTCTGTCTTGTGTCTGGCTTCTTTTACTTAACATTGTGTTTATGAGATTCATCCATGTTACGGCAAGTAGCCTATTCTGATTGCTCTATGTTTTGTTGTATGAACTTACCACAATTTACTTATCCATCAAATGTGGATGGATGTTTGAGTTTTTTCTGGTTTTTGCTGTCAAGAATAATGCTGCTACAAACAGTCTATTACATGTCTTTTGGTGAGCACATATAGGCGTTTCCACTGGGTATATACCCAGGAGCGGAATTGCTAGATCACGGGTGTGTATCTGTTCATGGGGTATGTTTTCCAAAGCGACTGTACCAATTTACACTCCCACCAGCAGTGTATGAGTGGGAATTCCAGTTGCTCCACATTTTCACCAGCATTGGGTGTTGACTATCTTTTTCATTTTAGCTATTCTGGTGAGCGTATAAAGATACCAACCATATTGTGGTTTTCATTGGCATTTCTCTGCTGATCGGGGAAAGTGACCACCTTTTTGTGTGTATTGGCTATTTGGAAATCCTCTTTTGGGAAGTCCCTGTTGAAGTCTTTTTCCTGTTTAAAAAAATAGGTTATATGGCTTTTTTTTTTTTTTTTTTATTGATTTGTGGGTTGTTTACATATTCTGGATGCAAGTCCTTAGTCGGATGTATGTATTACAAATACCTTCTTCCAGTTTGTGGTTTGCCTTTTCACTCTCAATGGTAGCTTTTGATGAAAAAATTTGATTTTTAATTTTACTGAAGTCCAGTTTATCAGTTTTTTTTTTCCCCTTTATGGTTATTGCTTTTAGAGCTTAAGAATTCTTTGCCTACCCTGAGGCCATGAAGATATTCTCCTACTTGTTTTCTAAAACCTTAATTATTTTACCTTTTACATTTATTTATTTATTTTACCTTTTGTTTTTAGATCTGTAGTCCGCCTGGAATTGATTTTTGCGTATTATGGGAGGTAGCGATCAGAATACATTTTTTCCATATGGATATTTAATTAAACATCATTTATTAAAACATTCTTTTCACCCCTTCACTGCAGTCTTACCTTTGACACAAATCAAGTAACCGTTTGTGTGTGAGTTTCTGGACTCTATTCCGTTGGCTATTGGTTTATCCTTGCCCTAATACCACATTGTCTTAAAATACCATAGCTGTAATATTTGGTAGACTAAATCCTCCAGTTTTGTTATTGTTCTTCTGGATTGCCATGCCTCATTTGACCTTTTAAATTTCCATACGCGTTTTATGTTTTTAAACTGATTGTATTGGGAGAGTTAGGGAAGTTAATACAATCCTACATAAAATAGAATTCAAGAGGTGGAAATAGGGTCGTCGTTGTTTGTGGTGGAGTCTGCTCTGACTCACGGCGACCTTACGTAGAACAGAACGAAACATTGCTCGGTCCTTTGCCATCTTTGTGGTTGTTGGTCTGTCTGAGTCCATGGTTGTGGCCACTGTGTCAGTCCATCCCGTTGAGGATTTCCCTCGTTCTCGCTGACCCTCCACTTCAGCAAACTTGATGTCCTTCTCTAGTGATCGGTCTTTCCTCACGACGTGTTCAACGTTACTGAGCCAAAGTCTCACCATCCTCACTTCTAAGGAGCATTCTGACTATATTCCTTCTAAGACTGATAGAAATAGGGTAAGGCCTGAGGAAATCAGTCTCCTTCCCTACCTGGTACCCCATTTTCTTTTCCCAGAGGCCACCATCCTCCCAGAAATACCGGTATGTAGACAAGCGCATCCCCACTCTTTGTCTTAGAAAGAAAAGCATTTTGTACACGTTGTTCTGTAGCTCGTTTCTTTCCTCTTAATATATCTCACAGACCTTGTTATTTTAGTAGTTGCATGGGATTCTTTTATGACGTTGCTAATCTTTTTCACCTGTCCCAAATTAGGTTGTTTCTAGTCTTTGCTCCTGCTGCAAGCAATGCTGCAACGACTCTCTGGGATCTACAGTTTTGGGTACAGGTGCACGGCCATTTGTGGGATGAATCCTTAGAGTTGGACTTCACAGCATCCCGCTGTCTGTCTGCTATGTTGGGCTCCCACACAGGATTCTCTTTGAAGCAGTCTGAAAACCCTGGGTTGGAAGTTCTTCGAGGACCCTTCTGTTCTAACAATCTGGGGCTCTAAGTTGAGTCCTAGATCCTTGTCTTCTGAGATTGAGTCCCGGTCACAGGCCTCCCCGTCTCTGCTTCTGGATCCATATGCTTAGACCTCGATTCTGGGGCCTTGAACCCAAATCCACCATCAAAGTTTCTCGGCCTTGAATTTGGGCAACGGCTTGTCTTGGTGGGAAGAACAAGGGTTTCGGCGTGCACGGCAACTGGGTTTTCAATCCAACCTCGGCCATGTCTCCCCTCCCCACTGCCCTGCCTCAGCCATGTGACCTTGACCTCCCCGAGCCTCAGTTTCCTCCTCTCTTGTCAAGAGGGCTGTGCTAGATACAGCCTACCAGCCCTCACACTGGGGTCCTGTCTCTAGATTTCTGATTCTCCCGGTTTGGTACCTGCACGGATCCTCCATCTCTGTTTCTAGCTCCTCCGATGTCTGCCCTCTGGTTCCGTCCACTTGAGCTCAGTCCTGCACAGCCCCTAAGAGCCTAGCTTTGGAGTCAGACAGGCTTGTCCATCTCACCACTTACTACTTCACTTCTTTGGACCCCAGTGTCCTCATCTCGAAAAGAGAGGTAATAATACCGGCCTCCCACGCTGACAATAGCTGTCACACAGCAAGCCCACAAGAAATGCTAGCTGATGCTGCTATTATTAGGATTATCTCACATTTCTGCTCCCAGCTTCACAGTTTTAGATTTGGAAAGGCGGCTTGGTAAAGAGAGAAAGCACTGACTCTCTCCCATCTCACTGCCCCTCAGCTGGCGGCTCTGTAGGGTCCTGGAGGCCAGAGCCCATGAGAGGACCTGGCCTCATAGTAGGAGATTCTGTCAGTTATCTTTAGCTATGTAAGAAAGCACCCCAAAACCTGGTAGCTTAAAACAGTATCAATTTATTCTTTTTCATGGGGATTCTGTGGGTTGACCGAAGAGTTCTTTACTGGCCTTGCCTGGGCTCAGCCATGCGGCTGCATTCAGCTGGTGGCTGGGCTAGGCTGGAAGGCCCAGAATGGTGTTGGTGCTGGCTGTTGGTTGGGATGCCACAGTTCACTCATCCTCCAGTAGGTTAGCCTAGGCTTCCTTGCATGGCAGTCTCTGGGAAGAGTTCAAGAGGACAAGAGTGGAGGTTGCTTTGAAGGCCTGTGCTCTGGAATCCACACACCATCTCTTCCACCACATTGTGTTGGCCAAAGCAAGTCACCAGCTTGGCTCGATGGGGAAGCCGACTCTACCTCTTGATGGGAAGAACTGCAAAATACTGAGGCCAAGTCTGTCTACCACACACATACACACAAACCAAACCTGGTATCATTGAGTTGATTCTGACTCACAGCAACCCCTTGTGTTACAGAGTAGAACTGCTTCATTTGGGTTTCTTAGCTGTAATCTTTACAGAAACAGATTGCCAGGCCTTTCTTCTGCAGCACTTCTGGGTGAGTTCGAACCTTGAGGTTAGTAGTCTGGAGCAAACCATTTGCGCCACTCAGGGCCTGTATCTACCACGGAGCTCGATAAGTTATGTGCTGAATGAATCAGAGGCCCCTGGAAAGAAACCTCTGTGACCCTCGGTTTCCATGTCTGTCCGCTGAGTCTGATATCTCCCGGGTCAGGTCATTGTGAGGATTTATGATACAATTAAGAGGACACACAGGGTAGAGCCTGACCCTCAGCCAGTGCTCACTGCCCATCACTGTTGTGATCGTCGCTATCAAAGCTCTTCTCTCCTGGCTTCTGCAAAGCCATCTCCTGAGTTATTTTGTTCATAAATCCAAACTAACACAAACGGCCATTTAGACAATAACTATGCCAAGTCAGGAGCCCTGGTGGCACAGTGGTTAAGAGCTATGGCTGCTCACCAAAAGGTCGGCAGTTCGAATCCACCAGCTGCTCCCTGGAAACCCTTTGGGGCAGTTCTACTCTGTCCTGTAGGGTCACTATGAGTCGGAATCGACTCGACGGCAGTGGGTAACCAGTATACCGAGTTAAGTTTCCCTTTTGTTACCATCATCTTCAGATATCTCTTCTTACTACACTTTGAATGCTCTGTCTGCTTCTGTGCTTACTTGGCACAAGGGATCAGTCAGGTTTGCTCAATCCCCTCAGAAGAAAGCATCAACATAGCAAACCATAGGCCAAAGACCAACAGTTGCAAAGGGGCAGATACGTTTGCTTGGCCTGCAAAGCATGAAAATCCAAAAAAAATTGGTATTGGAATTTGAATTAGTAGCTAATGTTTATAATCAGGAGATTTTACAAAGCAATCTAGGTTTCCAAATTCCCTTAAAATGGGGCCATCTGGCATCCCAGGCCCGTATCCCTTGTGGCAGCTCTCAGCTGGAACTACATCAGGGTAGGGGACACTTTCTTCACTGCTTGTCAGATGGCAGGCCTTGACCCATGTGTGGCTCATGAACTCAGGTTAGCGGGTTGCTACCACCATGTAAAAAAATGAAGTCGAGCAGAATAGAAAACATCAGCGTGTGTTGCCCGTAGTCGCTCAGGGTAAGGACTTCTGTGGAAGTAATTCTAGTTAAGTGCGTGCACGCATGCCTGCGTGTGACTTGGGCTGCAAAGCAAAAGGCATCTTTTACCGTGGGTCGTAGTCAGAAGATGTGAAAGGCCCTGTCCCAGCTTGGCACAGCCTCCGTCTAGTCTGACTCACTCCTCAGTTACTATCTCCCTTGGAGGTATTTGAGCTTGAGACTAATGAACAACGAGTTAGCTGGTGAGATGAAAGTGACAGCCTGTGATCTGTGCGTGGCTGGTGGGGCCATGGGCTTCTCCCTGACTTCCAGCATGGCACATGGTCGGGGAGTGAGTGTGGTGAATCCGTCATCCCCACCCTGCCAGCTGCTTCCTGACCTAGCCGCCCTGTCTGGGGCTCCGCCCCCACATGCCCAGTCTCTGACCCTGTCCTCTCTGCCCCTGCCAGGAGAACCCGTACGTCATGCGCCGGCCCAACTTCCAGGCCCTGTCGGGGAACGAGCGCTTCGAGGGCTTCTGCGTGGACATGCTGCGGGAGCTGGCCGAGCTGCTGCGCTTCCGCTACCGCCTGCGGCTGGTGGAGGATGGGCTGTACGGGGCACCCGAGCCCAATGGCTCCTGGACGGGCATGGTTGGCGAGCTCATCAACCGGGTATGTCTGGGCCGGGATAGGAGGATCACAGAGCACGCGGGCGAGGCAGGCAGGCAGCCAGTCCAGCCTCAGGATCAAGCTGGCACAGGGCAGAAGAGGAGTGGGCCATTCAGGGGTCCTCACACCAGCCACGCTGATGGCATGCTGCGTGCCTGCGCCTGGCGAGTGCCGCGAGGTGGGGAGGGGGAGAGGCGACACGTCACCTCCTGTGTCCAGCTTTGCCAAACCCTCCCCTCACACCACGGGCCCAGTGTCTGGCACTCAGTCCTCCAAGATTTACTGAGTGCGTGAATGAGACGTGGAGTGGAAATCAGGCACGGCCTGGGGTGGTCAAGGGAGGCTTCTTGCAGGAAGCAGGGCTGGGGTGAGGCGGCCAGGGACTGCACCTTGTTTGTGCCCTGTGCCCACCACCTGCCAGGGAGAGCACAAGTGTGGGCGTCACCTGGTGCCTATTGAACTCACACGTTCACTCATACCTGTTGCCACTGAGTCAATTCCGACTCACAGTGACCCTATAGGACAGAGAGGAACTGCCGCATAGGGTTTCCAAGGTTTTTCAGAAGGAGCCCTGGTGACACAGTGGTTAAGTGCTTAGCTGCTAACTGAAGGGTTGGTGGTTTGAACCCACCACCACTCTGAGGGAGGCTGGAGCCCTGGTGGTGCAGTGGTTAAGCGCTCGGCTGCTAACCAAAAGGTCGGCAGTTCGAATCCACCAGGTGCTCCTTGGAAGCCCTGTGGGGCAGTTCTACTCTGTCCTTTAGTGTTGCTCTGAGTTGAAACTGACTCGATGGTACCCAACAACAACGCTCGCTCTGCGGGAGAAAGATGTGGCATCTGCTTCCATAAAGATTACAGCCCAGGAAACCCTACAGGGTAGCTCTCCTCTGTCCTACAGGGTCTCTATGAGTCAGAATCGACTCGATGGCAATGGACCAATGGGGTTTTAATCTTTACGGGAGCGGACCAGCAGGTCTTTTCTCCTATGGAGCAGCTGATGGGTTTGTACTACTGACCTTTCGGTTAGCAGCCAAGCACCTAACCACTGCGCCACCAGGGCCTCTCTGTTCACTCACACAGGAGGTGCTTCTTGAGCTCCCACTGCGTGCCTTGCACCATGCTGGGCATGGGATGCAGCGGTGAGCACAGCGGGCCTGTACCCTGCCCCCAAGAGCCTAGTCTCCTTAGGATGCTGAAAAGCAAGTGATCATAAGACAGAACAATCTGGGCTGTGATGGGGGCAACTCAGAGGAGGGGCCCAGAGAAGGCTCCTGGCCCAGCTGGGGCATCCAGGGAGGGCTTCCCAGGAGAGCTGATACCCAAGCTGGCTCCTAAACAGGGCGAACGAGTCAGCAAGGTGAAGGGGGTCTGGAGGTGGGTAGTGCATTCCGAGCAGAGAACAGCATTTACAAAGATTTGGGTAAGAGAGAGTGGAATGTGCTGGAAGAACCAGCTGGGCCCCGAGTGTGGGCAGGGTCTGGATGGAGGCAGGGGGGCATGAGAGGAGTGAGTGAGGCGGTGGGCAGGGGTGTAGTGGAAAGAATATTTTGGAGTCTGACCAAGCTGGGTTTGAATCCTTCGGTGTGACATTTCTCCTGTCTGAGCCTCAGTTTCCCCCTGCCCTGAGATGGGGTGTCACTGGGTGGTGCAAAGGGTTAATGTGCTCGGCTGCTAACTGAAAGGTTGGAGGTTCAAGTCCCCCTAGAGGCATCTCAGAAGAAAAGCCTGGCAATCTACTTCTGAAAAATCAGCCATTGAAAACCGTGTGGAGCACAGTTCTACTCATGGGGTCCCCATAAGTCAGAATCAGCTCTACAGCAACTGGCTTTTTAAAAATGAAGATGATAATCTCTTACAGGTCTGTAGTGAGGGTTACAGAGAACAGGGCAAGTAGCTAGCACATTGCTTGTGAGAGAGGGGGGTCCGATATGCAGTTCTTCTCTGGAGAAACCATGTGGACAAATGCCCCGAGGCAGGACTGCGCCGTGGGAGACAGACAGGCCCCCAGGTTCGGCCCCACACAGAGCAGGTGTGCGGAGCCGGCAGCCAGGGCCAGGGCAGCCACAGCAGCCTTGAGGTTGGACTCGGCTGGTATACTGGAGTTCTCACCCTCTTGTCTCTCCCATCCCAGTGTTCACTGCATCCAAGCCCTGGAATGTCACCAGGGTAGACACAGGAAGGCCGCTTTGCTTGACAAGGACATTTATCCCTTAGGGCACTGATTTTCCGAAATGGTTTTGACAGCACGACCTTTTTCTCCAATTGAAATCTGCCACAGAACCCTGGACAAAGGCAGAACGGCTTTGGTGGAGGCAGGGTGTTGGGTCCCCCAAGTCCTGGCTGCTTGGTCTCCCCCACCTCACCCCATGGGCAAGCCTGGGCTCCACCCCAGAAGGCCACCTGCTGGTTTGAAACTTCTGCGTTGGGGTGGCTTGTAAGGGCCTGACACTTGAAGAGGCCCCTGATGAGACAGAAGGGGAGGAGAACCCGAGCTGGTGGCCCAGCGCCCACCCCACTGACTGGCAGCATTCCCCTTGGCCCCTGTTTCTCAGTCATGGAGACTCAGAAAGTGGCTTTTTTCCATCAAAAACCCCCAAAAAACCCATTGCCATCAAGTCGATTCCGACTCATGGTGACCATGTAGGACAGAGTAGAACTGCTCCGTAGGGTTCCCAAGGCTGTAATCATTACGGAAGCAGACTGCCACATCTTTTTCCTATGGAGCGGCTGGTGGGTTCGAACAGCCGGACCTTTTGATTAGCAGCCGAGCTCTTAACCACATCAAGGCCTCTGGAAATAAGCAGGCTCCAGAGGAGTAGCAAAGAGCCCTGGTGGTGCAGTGGTTAAGAAAGAAGTGGTCTTTCTTGGGTTGCTGTGAGTTGGAATTGACGCTATGGCAACAGGGTTTGGCTTACAGGGTCTCTATGAGTCAGAATCAACTCAACGGCGACGGGTTTGGTTTGGGACTTTTAGAGGAATAACCCCCAGTGAAGGTCACTGTAAACTGGACCATGTCATGCTATTCACCCACAAAGAGAAGGGGACCATCTAGAATAGTCTTTACTTGCAGCTGCATGACCTTGGGCAAGAGTCTTAACCCCCACTAGACAGTGCCTGGGGCGAGCCGGGAGCTTTGGGACCGGTTCCCGGTGATTATGGTCCTGCTGAGGTTCTGCTGGAATCTTGGTTCTGCTGCTCTCTAGCTGTGTGACCCTGGGCAAGTCACTTCACCTCCCTGTAACGTAGTTTCGTCAGCTGTGAAATTAGAGCAATAGCAGCTGCTAGTGCGCAGGGTAGATCCGTGGGTGGTGCGCTCAGCTGCTAACCGAAAGGTTGGAGGTTCGAGTCCACCCAGAGGTGCCTCAGAGGAAAGGCCTGGTGTTCTACTGAAATATCAGCCATTGAAAGTGCGATGGAGCAAAGTTCTGCTCTGACACACATGGGGTTGCCTTGAGTTGGAATCGACTCCCCAGCAACCACTTAACTGGTTTAGAGCATAGGGTGATTGTGAGCATGAAACAAGGGAATCCACATATAGGGTGTGTGCTGAGTGTTATATGTGTGTGCACTATTTCTCTTATTGTTATTGTCATTCCTGTTGGCATTCATTCATTCTCTATCCACCTGGTATACATGGAGCACCTACTGTATACCAGGCCCTATGCCAGCCCCTGTGGATGCAGTGCTGAAGAAGCCAGACCTGGCCTTACTTTTACTGAGCGCAGATCAAAGTTTGGGCTGCGGCAGGAGGTCCATGGGGTGCCCCCCCAAAAGAAAAGGTTGTGAGCCGGCTCAAGTGAGGACAAAGAATCAGCCAGGGGCAATAGTGGCGGCAGGGCAGTAAGGGGAGAGCTGGCAGGTGTGGGTCTCGGGGGACAGCAGAGATGGTGACAAGGGGAGGGGCTGGAGAGCACCCAGGCTTGGCAGCTGCCTGGGTGGCACACAGGAGAGGCCGTGTTCCTCCCGTTTGTGGTGCGGGCAGCTGGGTGACGGTGAGGACATTTAGAAAGGGAACAGTGGAGGAGGAGCAGGCTGGGAGCACCAACGCGGGCAGGCGTGGGGCTTGGCCTTGCCAAGTCTGAGCAGCCCCAGCATGCTGGTCTCCTCGGGACTGTCACCACCACCACCGCAGCTGCCATTTGTTGGATTCCCACCACGTGCCAGGAACTTTCCAAGTGTCGTTTAGTTTAAGTCTCATAGCCCTCCTCCACGGCCCAGAGTGTCGTCTCCTTTCTACAGAGGGGAGGCCTGGGCTCAGGGGGAGGCACCTGCCCCAGCACACAGGGCTGCAGCTGGTGCGTCGGCCCCTAGCCCCCCTCCCGTCCGCCCCACAGCAGGTTACGTGGAAGCCTGGAGTCATTACGGTAACTCTCACCAACGTTGACTGAGTGCTCACTCCGTGCCAGGTGCTGGTCCCCGCTTTTGGAATTTGTGTTAACTCCTGAGGAGCCCTGGTGGTGCAGTGGTTAGGTGCTCAGCTGCTAACCGAAAGGTCGGCGGTTCGAACCCATTCAGCAGCTGCACAGGAGAAAAGACCTGGCAATCTGCTTCTGTTAGGATTACAGCCTAAGAAACCCTATGGGGCAGTTCTTCTCTGTCCTATAGGGTCGCTATGAGTGACAAGGAAACCCCGGTGGCATAATGGTTAAGTGCTAACCGAAAGGTCAGCAGTTCGAATCCACCAGGCACTCCTTGGAAACTCTATGGGGCAGTTCTACTCTGTCCTATAGGGTCGCTATGAGTTGGAATTGACTCAACGGCAATGAGTATGAGTGACAATGGACTCGGCGGCACCCAACAACAGCATTCATTCCAGAGGCCTTGCAGCCACCCCATGAAGCACTGGATTAGCCCTGCTTTCTTGAATGGACAGCGTGAGGCCCTGAGGGAGGCACCATGGCCAGGCCATACCACTAGCGTGGGCCCGAGCCAGTGCTGGCACTCAACAGGCTAGCCCCAGAGCTGGAGAGCCTTCCAGGTGGAAGACAGCCCCGGGCACCAGC